CCGCGGTCCGGTGGCCATCCGGCGCCGCCGCCTCAGCAAGGGTACGGTTATCCGCCACCCGCTGCGGCACCGGGATACGCTTATCCGCAGTACCAGGCGGCGCAGCCCGGGTACGGGTACGCGATGCCGCCGCCGCAGAAGCCGAAGAAGGGCTTCGGAGGTATGGGGCTCGGACTCGGAGCGGGTTTGCTGGGCGGGTTGTTGATTGGGGATATGGTGTCTGATGTAGGCGAAATGGCTGCTTATGATGCTGGTTTTGATGATGCTGGCTTTGATTTCTAGTTTTTTTTTTTTGTTTTTGTTTTTTTTTTTGGCACCCATTTAGTGCAGTACTGTAAACGGAAGGGTTGAAGTTTTTCTGAATGGTATGGAAATGGAATAAAAGTGGTTTTTATATTTCTCGTGTTTTGTACATATAATTGAGCGTGATTCTTCTTCTGCTGGAAGAGTTTTGGTGCAATATCTGCTTCTTATATCTCGATTGCTTTATTTCAATGCAAATATCAATTGTAAGCTACGTGGTATCTCTTATTCTATTCCAGGTAACTTTTCGGGGACTCGTTTGAGAGAGTTTAAGAGCTAGAAGAATTTACCAGCAAAAAAAAAAAAGGGTAGTAGAAGAAACACAAATTTCCGCTGTAAAGTAGTTACTGTATTATTAACATTTGAGTGTTCAATTTGAATGGCGTTTTTCTTTTTTCTTTACCTTGTTATTTACACTGAACTGCAATATTTAGTCTTATCAAGAAAAGAACAAAGCGAGGCATAGTTTAGTGGTAATAGAGTTCGAATCTCTTCACTTTCAAAAAAAAAAAAAAAAAAAACAAATTAAGATGCTATGGCAGCGGAAAAAAATCACTAGCGAAAATATTTCTGTTATCTTCTTTCAATTTCGATTTCAAATGAATATTACAAGGTAATAGCCTTCAACCCCACTCAATTTCACGACTCAACTTGAAAACAAGATCGCTTCCAAATTTCAAAACCCCAAGAATAAGTAGAGAAATAAATCCAAACTTTTGAATTTTCAAAATCCTAAAATAAATACAAACAAAATTCCCAAAAATAAATTCCAAACTTTTGAGTGGATTTCATATTAAGACAAGACATGGCATCAAAAACTTTCATAAGTCAATTTTTGGCTTGAATTTTACTCATCAATTGTGTCTTCACTAGAATTGATTATTGGGCATAAATCAAGTCTATCACCATCTTCCTCCTCATCACTTGTATCATAAATTAGACCAAAATCAAATTAGTCGTATACTTTTTTAGTATGATATGAATTGAGTTCTTTGTCTTCAAACTCTCCACCCACACCCGCAGGTAAGGATTAGGAGTTTCTTTTTGTTAAGTAGTAATTTGATGAGTTAGCAACGAAACTTGTCCTTGCAATCAGGGGCGGAGCCACTTGAGGCCCGAGGGCAGTTGCTCCCCCTCAGTCCATGTGGCTCCTTTAAGTTTTGTCTTGAAAATTTTTTTCTTACACTTTTGCCTCCTTCAAATTTATAGTTCACATGTTTTAAGTAGTTTCCATTATCTTTCAAATCCTAGTTTCATATATAATTATATTTAATCGAACTTTTTAGATTTTTAAATTATATTTTAAATTTTGACTCTCAAGAATACTAGGCTTGTTCTTTTAGAGTCTAACTTGAGTATAATTCTTAAGTTGAATTTGAATTATAACTTGAGTTGAACTTGTAACTTGAGTTTGTGTTTGATTGTGTACATTTGAGTTATGGTTTGAGATAAAAATCTTTTTGAGTTTGTGTTTGAGTGAGTCAAAACTTGAATTTGTATTTAGATAGTATTTTAATAAAAACTCAGTACTACGTACAAACTTATATATTATTTGATTAAATGTAACAAAAAATTCTTGTCGTATATAATTTTTGTGAAACGTAATTGTTATATATGTTTTGTTTTCATTGGCGTTTTATAAATACGCTAAAGTAAATATTCGCCTACTTCCATTATTTGTTTTTTTTTTAATAACTTTTGTCAAATGGGAGAGATATTATCATTTGGAAATCAATTGTAACGCACGACGTTCCATAATTCTTAAAAGAGCTACATAATATAAGCCGGGTTTAGCGGATGGAATTGAATATGATTGTTACTTACTTAGTTACATTTATTAGATTTAATTGATGATGTTTAAACTATCTTAGCGTAATACTACATTGAATTATATTAATATTGATTTGTTTAATTTAAACAATTAAATTCTTAAATTTTAAAAAATTTAATCTAAATAAAGATTGTATTTAGATTGAGGTCGTTTAAAGGAATTGGTTATCGCATATATAATTTACACCGTAAAATTTAAATGTCATAAATTTTAAATTACATATATGGTGATTTTAAATTTTAAATTTAATTTAAATGTCATTATTTTAAATTAATTTAGATACCTCTTTGAGTGATTTAATTAGTTTTTCCAATCTTTATTCTTTTATTTCATATCTCATAAAACATCTTTTTGTTAAAAATGTAAGTAACAAAAATCATAACATTGCAAGAGTTCTTAACAAAAATGAGAGCAACAAAAACATCAACATAATAAGAATTCTAGTTAAGAGTGACAGATATAGTAAAATAAACAAATAATAAAAGAATAATTGACATAAATGATCCATAACTTATTTAGTAAGTAATAGTTTAGAGAACGTTTGGAATGAGGATTCGTACCATGATTCGAATCATGATTCGTAGCACGCTACAATATTTTCTCTCACAAAAAACACACGTAAAACGAGAATAATTCTGAATCATAATTCTAAATTCACGAATCAAACGTCCATTCAGTTCTTTTTTTAAAAGGAAAATTGCAGTAAATAAGTTAACATTTAAAACATTTAGAAGTAAATAACTAATTTACTAATCATTAGAAAATAAAAGACCAATTTTTATTTTAAAAATTCTATTTTCCAATTTACCCTTTCATATAGGCTTTTGCCCCTTTTCTTCTCAAACCCACTCTCTCACTCTCTCTCCCTCACCTTCGAATAGTACTCTCCAAATCTCTACCCCTCCCTCCCGTCGGCTCTCTCTCTCCTCTACCCCTCCCTCATGTTGGCTCTCTCTCCCCCTTCTCCCCCTCCCTCCCAACTGTGATCCTCGGCATTGGGCAGGCCAACGTCACCCCGTCTTTTCAGCACCGTTCAAACGTCGTCGTCTCTCCGTCGTCCTCGCGACGATCGCGTCATTGGGGCTTTGTGAAGCTTGTCGCCATTAGTTAGCCTTGTGACGGCGCCAGAAAATCACGATGTTCACCTTTGCGAGAAAGAGTGGAGAGAGAGAGAGATGAGAGAGAGCATCTCATCTTAACAC